TAGATCCAAGAATACACATGGGCTGAAAGTCAAAGAATGGAAAAGAGTCAATGCAGAGTGACCAAAGGAGAGCAGGGGCTGCTGTACCAGACAGGAGACTTCAAGTCACAGGAGAGCAGGGGCTGCTGTACCAGACAGGGGACTTCAAGTCACAGGAGAGCAGGGGCTGCTGTACCAGACAGGAGACTTCAAGTCAAAAACTGTCACAAGAGAAAAGAGGGACGTTATATCGTGATGAAATAGTCAATGCACCAGGAATATAAAATAATTATAAACATGTACGCAACCAACATCAAAAGCCCTAAACATATAAAGCAAACACTGATAAAATTCAAGAGAAAAGACAATTATCACTAATAGTAATATTATTATACTAACAGACTGAAATATCTTACTATGAATAATGGACAGAAAAATGAGACAGAAGATCAATAAGGAAATAGAGGACTCAGATGACACTACAGAGCAAGAGTCTAACATACATACAACACCCTACATGCCAATGCCAGGTGCTAGGGTATAAAACATGCCTTAGTAACATACACACAACACCCTACACACCAACACCAGATGCTAGGCTATAAAACATGCCTTAGTAACATACATACAACACCCTACAGGTCAATGCCAGGTGCTAGGGTATAAAACATGCCTTAGTAACATACACACAGCACCCTACACACCAACGCCAGATGCTAGGCTACAAAACATGCCTTAGTAACATACACACAGCACCCTACACACCAACGCCAGGTGCTAGGCTACAAAACATGCCTTAGTAACATACACACAACACCCTACACACCAATGCCAGATGCTAGGATATAAAACATGCCTTAGTAACATACACACAACACACTACACGCCAACGCCAGATGCTAGGATATAAAACATGCCTTAGTAACATACACACAACACCCTACACACCAACGCCAGATGCTAGGATATAAAACACGCCTTAGTAATATACACACAACACCCTACACACCAACGCCAGATGCTAGGCTACAAAACATGCCTTAGTAACATACACACAACACCCTACACACCAACGCCAGGTGCTAGGCTATAAAACATGCCTTAGTAACATACACACAACACCCTACACACCAACGCCAGATGCTAGGCTACAAAACATGCCTTAGTAACATACACACAACACCCTACACGCCAATGCCAGGTGCTAGGCTATAAAACATGCCTTAGTAACATACACACAACACCCTACACACCAACACCAGGTGCTAGGGTACAAAATATGCCTTAGTAACATACACACAACACCCTACACACCAACGCCAGATGCTAGGCTACGAAACATGCCTTAGTAACATACACACAACACCCTACACACCAACGCCAGATGCTAGGCTACAAAACATGCCTTAGTAACATACACACAGCACCCTACACACCAATGCCAGGTGCTAGGGTATAAAACATGCCTTAGTAACATACACACAGCACCCTACACACCAATGCCAGGTGCTAGGCTATAAAACATGCCTTAATAACATACACACAACACCCTACACTCCAACGCCAGATGCTAGGCTACAAAACATGCCTTAACACATTAAAAAAAATCAAAACCATACAAAGCATCTTTTCCACTCACAATGGATGAGACCAGAAATCAGCAGCAGAAGGAAAACTGGATAATTCACAATTACGTGAAAATTCAGCAAAGCACAATGTTAAATAACCAAAGAGTCAAAGAAGAAATCATAAGAAAAATTAAATATCTAGAGAAAAGTGAAAACAAAAACACAACATCCCAAAACTTGCGTGATGCAGTGAAAACAGTGCCCAGAGGGAAATGTACGGCTGCAAACACTTGCTTTAGAAAAGAAGAGAGGGCTCAAACCAACCACTTAACCTTATACCTTAAGGAACTAGAAAAAGACTAAACATAAAACTAGAAAAAGGAGGAGAAAAAAAAGGAGGAAAATATTAAAGATTAGAGAAGGTTAAATAGAGAATAGAAAAACAGAAAATAAACGAAACTAGAATTTGGTTCTTTAAAAATCAACACAATTGTCAAAGCTTTAGCTAGACTGACTAGGGAATAAAGAAAGAAGACTCAAATAGCTATGATCTGGAATGAAAGAGGGGAAATTACTACCTATTTTACGGAATAAAAATGATTACGAGAGCACTGTGAACAACTGTATGTCTACAAACTGGATAACCTAGATGAAATGGACAAATTCCCTAACATGAACCCCACCAAGATAAGTAATAAAGAAATGGCAAATTTGAATAGATCTATAACTAGTAAGGACATTGAATTTGCAATTAAAAAAAAAAAAAACTACCAACAACAAAAAAAAGTCCTGGACTAGATGGCTTCGCTACTGATTCTACCAAAAATTTAAAGAATTAACACCAAACGTTCTCAAAATCTTCCAAAAAACTAAAGAGGAGGCTAACACTTCCTAACTTGTTCCATGAGGGCAGCATTACCATTATATATCAAAGCCAGACAAAGACATCACAAGAAAAGTACAGGCCAACATCCCTTATAAATATCGGTGCAAAAATCCTCAACAAATACCAGCAAACTAAATTCGACAGAATAATAAAAAGATTATACACCATGACCATGTGGGATTTATTCCTGGAATGCAAGGACATTTCAACAAAAAAAAATCAATCAGTGTAACATATCACATTAACAGAATGAGGGGAAAAAAAAAACACAACACGATCATTTCGATTGATGCAGAAAAAGCATTTAATAACATCTATTGCCTTTTCATAACAAAACAATCAACAAACTATGAATAGAAGGAAACTACCTCCACATAATAACAGCTGTACAGGAAAAACCCACAGCAAATATCATAGCCAATGGTAAAAGACTGGTAAAAAACTTTTCATGTAAGAACAGGAAAGTACATCTGCTTTTATCACTTGTATTCAACACAATATTGAAAGTTCTAGCCATAACAATTAGGAAAGAAAAATAAATAAAGGGCATACAAATTAGAAAGGGAGAAGTAAAATTCTTTCTGTTCACAGGATTACATATGTAGAAAACCCTAAAGATTACACAGGTGCGCACAGACACACACGCGCACGTGCGCACACACAGACACGCGTGCACACACACACACACCTGTAGAATAAACAAATTCAACAAGACATGAAATCAATATACATAAAATCAATATACATAAATCAGTTTCAGTTGTTTCCACACCCTACCTATGAACAATAAAAAAAAAAAAAGAAATTGGCCAGGCGCCAATTAGAGGCTCAAGCCTGTAATCCCAGCACTTTCGGAGGCCGAGGCGGGTGGATCACGAGGTCAAGAGATCGAGACCATCCTGGTCAACAAGGTGAAACCCTGTCTCTACTAAAAATACAAAAAATTAGCTGGGCATGGTGGCACGTGCCTGTAATCCCAGCTACTCAGGAGGCGGAGGCAGGAGAATTGCCTGAACCCAGGAGGCGGGGGTTGCGGTGAGCCGAGATCGCGCCATTGCACTCCAGCCTGGGCAACAAGAGCGAAACTCTGTCTCAAAAAAAAAAAAAAAGAAATTAAGAAAACAATTCAACTTACAAGAGCATAAAAAAGAATAAAATACGTAGGAATCATGTTAGAGAAGGAGGTGGAAGTCTTTACGAACATTGATGAATGAACTTAAAGATGACACAAACACAAAGGTGTCTTGTGTTCACGGACTGGAAGACTTAACAACAAGACGTCAGCACTACCCAACGTGATCTACAGATTCAATGCAATCTGTCAAAATTCCAACAATGTTTTTGGCAAAAATAGAAAAGAAATTATAAAACTCACATGGAATTCCAAGGCACCCTAAACTGTCAAAACGATTTGGAAAGAATCAAGTTGAGATACTGTACATATCCAAAAAACACTCACATACACAGACTCGCCTTACATAGTTACACACCAACAAGTTCAGGAAGACAAAAATAGGAGTCCAACTAGAACACAGTATTTTTTTGTTTTTGAGACGGGGTCTCACTCTGTCGCCCAGGCTGGAGTGCAATGGCACGATCCTGGCTCACTGCAACCTCTGCCTCCCCGGGTGAAATGATTCGCCTGCCTCAACTCCTCCTGAGTAGCTGGGATTACAGGCACCCATCACCACGCCCAGCTAATTTTTGTATTTTTAGTAGAGATGGGGTTTCACCATGTTAGCCAGGCTGGTCTCAAACTCTCAACCTTGTGATCTGACTGCCTTGGCCTCCTGAAATACTGGGATTACAGGCATGAGCCACCACACCTGGCTAGAACAGTGTTGAGAAAGCACAGAACCAGGAACAGCCTTGCTCTTGCACAGGGGTGGGAAGAAGTCTTGTAATCACACACTATCCCCTCTCCCCAAGGAACAGGTCACCTCCATGTCCCTGTGGCCCAGATCTAAACACCAATTTCATTCCACTAGGTTAAGGTGATTGTCCATGGCTGAGACACCTGCAGGAGGGACAATGGCGTTTCTGTGGGAACCACTAACACCACAGCGTGTTCTCCCTCCTGGACTCAGTCATCTCACTCTGTTCTTTAAGGAGAGGGGTGGTAGGACGAGGCTGTAAGGAAGGTAGCAGGTGGGGACTGAGGAGAGGCAGGGGTAGGAAGTAGGGTGCACACAGGTAAACAGAGCTGTGGCTCCTGCCGGGGCCACCCTCTAGCAGGTGGAGGTAGGAGTCAGAGAGGAGAATCTCAGGGTGGAGCAGTGCTGTTGGAGGTAGGAGCTGCCCTGTCCCCCGCTGGCTTTCTAGGAGATGGGGATGGCAGGTCACCTCTCGGAAATACAGGCGCCATCTGATGTGGGCTGATGGCTGCCTAATCTGTTGGCCAGTTTCTTCCAGGTTTTCAGTTCAAGTACGCTAAAGGGCCATAAATGCAAATGCCTGCCACACCGCAGTATCCAAAAATAAAGCACATTAGAAACCTCCACTCATTTTCCTGGTAGGTTTCAATGGGTTTTTCTCCCCTTGGCAAAAACCGATGCAAGAACAGCCCCGTCAACACCACCTGCTGTTTCCTTCGCACAGGAGGTGGTGGGAGGGGAGGCGCTTCCAGATCTCCTGACACAAAGGGCTGCCCACCTCCCTGGTCCTTCACCGGAAGCTTCAGGAGGCAGACACACACACAGTAGCCAGCCACTCTCTCCAGGGCACGGGGAGCGGGACAAAAAGCAATTTCGAGATTTGTACCGTGCTGGCCAGGTCCTTCAAGAATGACTACACTGTCACCACAATGGTAACAATGGGGAACCCGCCGCCCACGGCTCTTGCACAGCAGGTAGGAGAAGAGTCCCTGTAATCCACCTCTCCCAAGGAACTGTGCCCAGGGTTTCAAGATTCCCCGCCTGCGGGCTATAGCTGACTTCGCCGCATCCTGTGCTCTTCGTGCAGGTAATGCTGGAGTGCAGATGACTGGAGGGACCCCCAGAGCTGCCCAGGCACTTCCCGGTGGCTGCTTCCTTTGCACTTTGCACCGACAGCTGCACTTACAATAAAAACGCCCTCCCTTCCACGGCCCCCTGGGCCCTCCCATCTCTCCTTCCTTTTCCATGCTCTCCTGGCTGTTGACTGTTTTCCACTGAAGGAGCCCAGACCGGTGTCCAGCTCTCCCCACCTCACCTCTTCCTCCCTCAGTCCGGGGCATCCGCGGCTCACAGGTCAGCTTGGGCAGAACCGTCCTTACCACCTATGAGCGCCTCCGGACACCACCCCAATGCCAGGGTGAACCGTCCTCACACCCTGTCCTGATCTTACCTGTTTCCCAGAAACTGCTGCGCGAGGCTTCCCCGCCGGGCTGATCCAGGAGCGGAGGGGCCTGCCCCTGACGCAGACTGGGGCCGGGTCAGCAAACGCGGGCCGAATAAATGAGCCCAGCAGGGCTGGGCCCCCTGGGGCTAGAGGTCCCAGCTACTTGATCCGCCCCCGGCCCAAAACATTGGACGTGCTCCCCACCGGTCAGCGGAGCCCAGACGTCCGGGGCCCTAGTGGAACCTGACCAGGAAGGCAGCAGGTGGGACCCGGGGTGCGAGTGACCCCCCAGGCCGTCCTGCGGCGCTTAGCGCCCCCGTGGGGAGGCCCGCCCGGAGCCGGTGATCGCCGGCCGCCCCCGCCAGCGCCCAGGCCAGCCGCTAAGCCCGCACCGCGCGCTCGGCCCCAGTCACGGAGGCCAGTGCCCTTCTCCGGGGAGCAGGCGGCGGCCGGTCTTTCCTGCTTCCCCACCCCGGCCGGCGACAGCACGGCCTCCACGGGTGGGATACGACCCCACTGCTCCCTCGGGCCTGGGCCCCGCCCACATGCACGTGGCGTCACAGGCTGGGCGGGGCAGACGGGCCCAGCTGCGCAGGCGCGGGCTGGAGGAGGGGGGAGGGGGGAGGGTAAGGGGGAAGGAGAGGGGGAGGGGGAAGAGAGGGGGAGGGGGAGGGGGAAGAGGGGGAGGGGGAAGAGGGGGAGGGGGAGGAGGAGGCGCGGGGACGAAGCTGCGCAGGCGCGGGCGGGATGGGGGGGAGGGGGAGGAGGGGGCGCGGGGACGAAGCTGCGCAGGCGCGGGCGGGAGGAGGGGGGAGGGGAGGAGGAGGGGGAGGGGGAGGAGGGGGCGCGGGGACGAAGCTGCGGAGGCGCGGCGGCCGGCTTCCGTTTAGGCGGCTGGCCTCGTGGTTTTCTCCAGTCTGCGCTGGGCTGGCGTCGGCCCCTAGGAGGGTCTTGCTAGTCTGGTTCCCCCAGCGTCTCCGGGCAGGCCCTCGCCAGATTCTAGGGGTTCCCTTGGCCAGTTTCCTAACGACGCGGCGGAGCTGGCCCTTGTCCCTGGCAGGGGGCACCTTAAGGTCTGGACCGGCCTGTGCAATTTCCCCCATCCTTCCATAGCTACTTTCTGTTTTTTCATTTTTCTATTTTTAAGGCGACGTTCGGTGGAAATGCAGCCACAACAGAGCAGGCAGGTTCATGAAGCGCAACCCCCGCCCCCCATTTGTTGACCCCATTTTTTTTTTTCTCTTTCTTTTTTAGACAGGGTCTTGCCCAAGGTGGAGTGCAGTGGCACGATCTCGGCTCGCTCCGCCTCCGGGTTCAAGCAATTCTCTTTCCTCAGCTTTCTGAGTAGCTGGGACTAGAGGTGTGCACCATCAAGCGCAGCTGATTTTTGTATTTTTAGTAGAGACGACATTTCACCATGTTGGCCAGGCTGGTCTTGAACTCCTGACCTTAGGTGATCCGTCCACCTGGCCTTCCAAACTGCTGGGATTACAGGCATGAGCCACTGCACCCGGCCTTTGACCCCATTGTCTGATGTCTTCCTAAAAATAACCAAGTTTGCAACTCCTGGCTGTCCTGGCATGCACGCCCTGGTTTACTTAGGGACCCCATGGTGGGGGTTGCCCACATGCACCCCTATGCTAGACACCCTCATTCCCACGAGAGCCAGAGCCCCTTCCTGGCCCACAGCGTCTGGCGGTGTGGGTGCACTCTAGCCAGGCCTGGCCCTAAAGGATGGACCCACCTGGGGCACTGGGGCATCTGGGAGAGCTATTGGTGGAAGAAGCCCAGGTTCCTGGAGCACCAACTGGGCAAGAGTTTATTTTCAGGATGGGACACTTTTTTTTTTTTTTGAGACGGAGTTTCACTCTTGTTACCCAGGCTGGAGTGCAATGGCGTGATCTCGGCTCACCGCAACCTCCGCCTCCTGGGTTCAGGCAATTCTCCTGCCTCAGCCTCCTGAGTAGCTGGGATTACAGGCACACGCCACCATGCCCAGCTAATTTTTTTTATATTTTTAGTAGAGACGGGGTTTCACCATGTTGACCAGGATGGTCTCGATATGTTGACCACGTGATCCACCTGCCTCGGCCTCCCAAAGTGCTGGGATTACAGGCGTGAACCACCACGCCCGGCCCAGGATGGGACACTTTTGAGAGCGAACAAGCGCTGCCTGTATGGGATTCGGGAGCAATGCATAGACCAGGCCTGGCAGTCGGGCGTGCGGTTCCTGTTGGAAGGTGGCACAAAAGCGCCTGGTTGGACATTGCCCCTGAGATTTGGTTACTACAGAGGTTAGGCTCTGCGGGCCCTTGCGGATGGACCTGGAGGTTTTCCCCAGTTGTTTGTTGTTAGGAATAATGCGACTGGATCCTGAGGACTGCATTTGTGCTGCAGGTAGTTGAATCTGTCAGACATATTCTTAGAGGTGGAATTGGCTATGGCGGGGTATGTCCTTTAATGTGTTGGGTAAAATGGCTAAATTGCCCTCCTTGGACTGTGCCTCATTGACAGTCTGGCAAATAATGTTTAAGACTGTGGGTTTCCACACATTTTCACCGGTGGGGTCTTTCCAGACCTTTGGATCTTTGCCAATCCAATAATGACAAAACTGTATCTCACGGTTTTAATTTGCACTTTTCCTAGTATTTTGAGCTCCTGTCGTGGAGCGGTGATGGCCCTGTGTCTGCCTGCTGCACTCAGGAAATGTGTTATCACTTCCTCCCTTCTCACCATTTTTCACTCTTAAGCGTTTCTAGAATTTGCGAAAGTAAAATCTTTTTGCTGGCTTGAGCTCTGCTGTGTGTTGCACCAAATCTTCCCTTGGTAGATCCTTTCTTGATGTTTAATACCCAGACCGTTCTATCTAGCGTGGCCTCCTCTAGTTATTCTCTGTCACCTTTCATGTTATTTCCTCTATGGCACTCATCACACTGTAACCATCCAACAGCTTCTTGACTGTCGCCCAGATACAGCCAATTTTTCAAGATGGGAATTGCAATACAGGAAGAGTTCAGTAAACACAGAGCTGGCTAAATAGGAGACCAGAGGTTTGTTATTCCTCAGATCAGCCTCTCTTCAAATTTGGAGGCTAGGGGTTTTGGGGGGGGGTTTGTTTTTGTGACAGAGTCTTGCTTTGTTGCCCAGGCTGGAGCACAGGGGTATGGTCTTAGCTCACTGCAGCCTCCACCTCCTGGGTTCAAGTGATTCTCGTGCCTCAGCCTTCCAGGTAGCTGGAATTACAAGCACACACCACCATGCCCAGCTAATTACTTGTATTTTTAGTACAGACGGGGTTTCACTGTGTTGGCCAGGCTGGTCTTGAACTCCTGCTCTCAAGTGATCTGCCCTCCTCAGCCTCCCAAAGTGCTGGGATTATGCAGTCTGGAGGTTAGGGTTTTTTAAAGATAGTTTAGCAGACACAGGGCTAGGGAATGGTGAGTGCTGATTGGTTGGGTTGGGGATGAAATCATGGGGAGATGAAGCTTTTGTCTTGCTCTGGGTCAGTTCCTGGGTTGGGTTCACAAGACTAGATGAGCCAGTTTACCAGTCTGGGTGGCTGGTCCATCACAATGCAGGGTCTGAAAAATACCTTGAACACCAATCTTATGTTTTCTAACCCCAATATTGGAGCAATTGGGGCAGTTAGGAATCTTGTGGCTTCAGGCTGCATGACTCCTAAGCCATAGTTTTTAATCTTGTGACTAGTTTGTTAGTTTCACAAAGGTGGTCTGGTCCCTAAGCAAGAAGGAGGTTTGTTTCAGGGAGGAGCTGTTATCTTTGGTTTAGGGTGAAATTATAAACTAAATTTCTCCCCAAATTTGTTTGGCCTATGCCCAGGAATGAACAAGGGCAGCTCGGAAGTTAGAAGTAAGATGGCGTCAGTTCGGTCAGGTTTCCTTTCACTGTTGTATTTTCTTATTGTCATAATTTTTGCAAAAACACCACACCCATTATTTATTTTTGTTGACTTGTTTATTGATACATTTGTTCCATTCCTGAAAGGAAGCCCCATGAGAACAAATCAATGGGTCTGTCTTGCTCACTGCTGCATGACCGGCACTGTCTGGAGCATGGCAGGTGCCTGTAGCATACCCTGTTGGTGCTCATGTCTCTTGTCCGCCTCTGCTGTCAGCTCTCTGGTTGTGGTGGAGAGTTCCCTTGAATGCTGCCATCTCAAGCATCTTGTTGCTGTCCTCTTTAGGGATTATCTTACGACTTTTTTTTTTTTGAGACAGAGTTTTGCTCTGTTGCCCAGGCTGGAGTGCAGTGGCGTGATCTTGGTTCATTGCAACCTCTGCCTTCCAGGTTCAAGAGATTCTCCTGCCTTGACCTCTCCCGTAGCTGGGACTACAGGCGGCCTCCACCACGCCCAGCCAATTTTTTTATTTTTAGTAGAGACTGGGTTCCGCCATATTAGCCAGGCTGGTCTCAAACTCCTGACCTTGTGATCCGTTGCCTCGGCCTCCCAGAGTGCTGGGATTACAGGCATGAGCCAACATGCCCAGCCTATCTTATAACTTTCTCTGGAAGCCTTGGGAGCAGGCACAGCCTGGAATTCAGGGAAATTTAACATCCCCACGGCACCTCCAGTTTGGGTGGCCATGGACCCACCCAGTCACCTTTTTTCCATGTAGTTCTCAGGAATAACTAGATCGTGCCAGGAATGCAACATCTGGAGATAAGGGATAGCTGGTCGAACAGCCCAAGCTCAGTTCCAGTCTCCTGCTGAAAACAGGATGTCCTTCCACATGTTAGCCCAGCAAATCACGTGACCCTGGGACGTCAAACCCAGGGCAGCCTGCTCTCCAGCGTCCCTCATCTGTGGTGCGAGTGGGATGTATACCCAGTTGAGACTCCATTTGCCCTGAGCAGATTTCTTGAGCCTCGGGCGACCAGCATGCAACGAATGCCTCTCTTGTCCCTTGCTACCTGTCTGTAGGTAATAAATTTGCTTCGTGTAACCTGTTGAGTATGAATGCGTTCTGTCTCACGGGACACAGACTCGTTGGTAACCAGCACACATCGAACCTGCTCTACAGCCACCCTTAACTAACTGGGGATATGTGCCTCAGCCTTCTGTCTCCAGAGGACGAATTCCGACTCCTCAGTGGAAGTGAGCCTCAGTGACCCTTAGTGGTGATCAGCTCAAAAATGCCCCCTTTGGTTGGTCCTCCCGGTCTTCCTCGCTGTCTCTCACTCGCTGTCTCTCTCCTCCTCTGCTTCTGGGAATCACCTCCCAGGTCAAGTACCTGCATCTAAGCTCTTGACTCCAACTCTAAGTAAGTCAATATTCAAAATATTTGTTGAACAGAAAATGAAATACCGCATATTCTCACTCATAGGCGGGTGATGAAAAATGAGAACACATGGACACAGGGAGGGGAGTACTAAACACTGGGGTCTACTGGGGGGAAAAGGGGAGGGACAGCGGAGGGGGGGAGCTGGGGAGGGATAGCCTGGGGAGAAATGCCAAATGTGGGTGAAGGGGAGGAAGGCAGCAAAACACACTGCCATGTGTGTACCTACGCAACTGTCTTGCATGTTCTGCACATGTACCCCAAAACCTTAAATGCAATAAAAAATTAAAAAAAAAAAGTTTTGTTGGAAGATGGAAAAAAAATATTTGTTGAAGAAATGGATGGATTGATGATGGTACTTCTGAAGTTTTCCCGTGTCAGCCAGAAGCAGATCAGCCCTGCAGGCGGAAGATGAAAGAAGCCAGTTGGCGCCGACCTGGGAATGCAGGGTCAGCTAACTGAGACGTGGGCTTCAGCAGAACATGTATGCAAGTGTTCTGATAGCAGGGAGGAGTGCCTGGGCCTGATTTAGGGTGGTGAGCACGTTTCAGAAGAGGCTGATGACTTACCGAGCTGCCTCAATTTACCTAACTTGAGTAATAGTGGAGGAAACCCACTATTGTATGTGGCTTGCTCCCATGTGCGCACCTACTCACAAAAGTCCAGGAGGACAGCTGCAAAGCTGTGTGCTCAGCGAAGGAGCCGAACGTGGACTGCTCAGTGTCTCTGTAGCAGATGCTGACAGGCCTCCTGCCCATGTCTGTCCCGCTGCACCCTCCTGTACTCTCCACAGCAGGGCCTTTTTTTGGGTAGAGGAAGTGCCAGGAGGTAAGGCTTTGGGGAGCGGTTCTCAACCCGTGTCAGGTGCAAAGACCCTGGCTCCCTTTCCCCTCAGGATAACTCTCCGGCATGTCTACATGGGATTGAGCCCAGCGGTCCTAGAGTGGTGACCCGTACTGGCTTTCCTCCCTTCCCAGTCCCACTGCCCACTCCTCTACTGCTGTTTCCTGGGCTCCCCTCCTAAATAAACAACTTGCACTCAAATCATTCTTTAGAATGTGTGGTTGAGGAATTCCGTCTAAGACACCGTCACTCGTAGGTCATAATAATACCCAATAAAACATCTTAGCCACTGCTCTGGTTTCTCCCTCTGCTTCCCTGAAACCTGTAGCTACAAATCACTGCTTTTTCTAACGCTGAATCGTTCCTGCATTCCCAATGTGAAGCATACTTTTAAAATGCATTGCTGGATTGACATGCTAACATTGTGTTCAGGTTCTTTGCCTCTGCATTCACGAAAAGGTTGGCTTCTAGTGTTCCTTCTAGTATAGTATTTGCTTAGAAACTGTCAAGATTAAATTAGCCTTGCAAAATGAGTTGATTTCTTCCTTTTAAATCTTCTAAGTATGTTTAAGTTTTGAATTTTTGATGTCTTGAATATTTGATAGAATATTTCTGTTTTCTGTGTGAAACATTTTAAACTGCTGATTCCATTTCTTTTTTTTTTTTTTTTTTTTTTTTTTGTGATGGAGCCTCGCTCTGTTGCCAGGCTGGAGTGTAGTGGTGCGATCTCAGCTCACTGCAACCTCCGCCTCCCAGGTTCAAGCAATTCTCTTGCCCTCAGCCTCCTGAGTAGCTGGGACTACAGGCGGGCACCACCACCCCCAGCTAATTTTTGTATTTTTAGTAGAGATGGGGTTTCACCATGGCCAGGATGGTCTCGATCTCTTGACCTCGTGATTCACCTGTCTTGGCTTCCCAAAGAGCCGGGATTACAGGTGTGAGCCACTGCACCTGGCCAAACTGCTGATTCTATTTCTAATCAAGCTTCTCCCTCTTTTCCAGGCAGTTTTGGCATCTTCCTAAAGGAATCATCCCATCTCACCTGTTTTCAGTGTTATCGTTATCACATTATTCATGTCTTCTCTTCTTAGCATTTGCAGCTAAGTCTTTATTTCACTCGTAATAATTATTTATTTGTAGATTCTCCTTTTTTTTTTGGCCAGCATCTCCCGAAATGCCTACGTTTTGTTACTTCTCCTCCCCAAGAGCTAACTTTTGGCTTTGTGGAACTCCTCTGTATCTTCGATTTGTATTTTGAAATTTATTTCATATTTATTATTTCCTTCCCTCCTTATTTCCTTCCTTCATTCCTTCCTTCTTCCTTTCTTTTCTTTCTTTCTCCTTCCTTCCTTCCCTCCTTCCCTCCTTCCTTCCTTCCTTCCTTCTTTCCTCCCTTCCTTCCTTTTTCTTTTCTTTCTTGACAGAGTCTTGCTCTGTTGCCCTGGTTGGAGTGCAGTGGCTTCATTCATCTTGGTCCACTGCAACCTGTGCCTCCCGGGGTCAAGCAGTTCTCCTGCCTCAGCCTCCTGAGTAGCTGGGATTACAGGTCCCTGCCACCATGCCCAGCTAATTTTTGTATTTTTAGTAGAGGCGGGGTTTCACCATGTTGGCCAGGCTGGTCTCGAACTTCTGACCTTGTGATCCACTCGCCTTGGCCTCCCAAAGTGCTGGGATTACAGGCATGAGCCACTGCGCCCGGCCTTATTATTTCTTCCTTTGTACTTAGAGTGTATTTTTATTTAATTTCTCTAGTTAAAGCTGAACACTTAATTTTCAGCCTAGCTTCTTTTTATAAAGACTAAAACTGTATTATTCTTACTTAAAAGAAATGAAGCAAAAGAAGCTGCAGAAGAATGTGTGTTAAGCAAGAGGGAGCCGGGTTGCTGGGAAGGGAGAGCTGTTCTGTTCACTGTGGTGCTGCCCATCACGGGTGGAGAGTGGGTCACGCTGTGAGAAACAGACTCACCCGTCTAAATCCAAACGTTGGACTCAGAGACCTGGAGAACAGTGGAAGCAAGACTTTAATGAAGGTCTTGCAAGATCAGGTGTCTGACGGGCAGGCACACCCAGCAGGTTCAACACAGTCCATCCCCTAGCGCACAGGTCCCTCCCCCTTCCTCATAGGCTGAGTACTGAGGGGTCACAGTCTTCCTGGACATCACCTGTTGGCTGTTGGGCAGGGGTTTTAGGTGTTTTCTTTAGGGTTGTTGCAGCCACAACGCGTTGCAGTGCTAGTCAGCTCGGGGATCTTCAGCTGCTTCACTTACGACCTAAGCAGCTGGGCAGGCTGGAAACAGACAAAGCAAGCTATTCTGCAAGGTAGTAAACGTTCGTCTTAGACTAACCTTTTTAGTTCAAGTGAGGGCAGCTAAGGTGGAGGCCGGGGCATCCAGCAGGCCTTGGCTCTGCAGACAGGGGCCTTGTGTACCCCGTTTCTTCTGTAGTTCTCTGTCCTAAACCGATCCAGGGCACTGTGTACATAATTCCTTCATGCTCAGTACGAGCAGCTCCCTCAGGGTTATTTTTAACGTTCAAGGCGTGAGAAACGAAGCCTGCCTGCAGCCAGTTCCATGACCTAAGGAATCTAAGTGAAATTCTGTTTTGTTGAAAAAGGGCGTTGCTGAGGATTAAAAAAGTAAAGTCCAAATAACGCTGAATCATCGAGCGTTTGCTTTTTTTAAAGAATGTATATACGTTTTACAGCCCTGTGCCTCAGCATCAGGAAGGGTGTTTCTGACGACTGATAAAGCCCCTTCGGCATACCTGGAATCCTGTCACCTGCAGATGCCCAGCCACGCAGGCCACTCCACACACAGAAGCAGCCTGGAGCTCTCACCTTGACACGCAGCCTCAGATAAGGGTGAGGTTTCGTAACTGCAACGAGGGAGCCACATGGTGAAGGTGGCCAAGCCCACGGCCTGGGTCCTAGGCTGGCTGGCCGCTCAGAGGCCCTCCTGACTTCAGCACAGGATAGACAGGATGGCAGAGAAGGGAGGGGTTCAGGTGAAGTTTAAAATGAAGCCCTCTCTGACAGGCTAAAGCAGGGCTGTGGGTCACAGGGCAACGCATCACACTGGGTTGAGACGCTGACTTGGGGGCCCGAGCTCAAGACAAATGCGTCGTGTTGTATCCGGAAGCCCCTTATCTGAGGCTGCGTGCCAAGGTGAAAGCTCCAGGCTGCTTCTCTGTGCGGAGTGGCCTGCATGGCTGGGCATCTGCAGGCGACAGGATTCCAGACAGCACGGTTTCTCAGGGCAGAGAAGCGGAGAAGGAGGTTTTTTAGCACAGAGGCACAGGGTGCTGCCTCAGGCTGGCTGCCTTCATTCCTTAGCCCTGCTCCCCCATTACCCAGGGGCCTGACCCTCCTCCCACCCATTTCCTGGCTCCCAGTCCCCCAGGCTCCAGAATGCTTGGGCCAAGGTAGCTAGGCAACCATAAGACACTCAGCCTCGGTTCACTGGAAACAGTAACACCAGAGTGTCCTCCACACGACCCCAGAACTCTAATGAGGTCTCCCTCAAAAACCATCCCCACTAGGGACCCCCAAGCTGGGCCGCCCAGTGGGAGCCTCGTGCTGCTGCCTTACTTGAAGCCAGCGTTCAGCCTGTGTAAGAAATGCGGTTAGAGCTTTGCCCTTCCTGTAAGCACCCCTGTAGCTCTGTCCACACGTGGCTGTGCTGGATTTTTGTAACTGTCAGTTTGAAACATTTTCTTTTTTTTTTTTTAATTTTTTATTGCATTTTAGGTTTTGGGGTACATGTGCAGAACGTGCAAGACAGTTGCGTAGGTAGACACATGGCAGTGTGTTTTGCTGCCTTCCTCCCCTTCACCCACATTTGTCATTTTTCCCCAGGCTATCCCTCCCCAGCTCCCCAGTTTGGAACATTTTCTAAAGTCCACTATTACAATGTTTCTCTGTCCCATGTGTTATTTAGAAACATTTTTAAATTTTTGAATTAATTTCTAAATTTACCTTTTAATCAGTGAATTCTCAGTTGATTGAGCTGTGGACTGGGGGTGTCATCTCTGATATCCACCCTGCGGAGGTTGTTGACACAAACTTTGTATCCCTCCTCGTGACGTTTTGTACGTTTTCTGTGGCACTAGAGAAGAATGTGTGGCTTCAGCTGCTGGGTGAATGAAGTGTCCCTTAGGTGCCGCCTGTGAAGTGTCACATTAACTAGGATAAGGCTGAAGTGCCCAACGCAGGTCTGAAGCCCGTTGCATGCGATTGCTCCAAATGACACTGACCCATGGCCACAGG